ACAGCAAAACATTTTCTGTAAAACTGCACTAAGCACAAAAGCAATATTAATTTATGACAAAACTACACCACAGTTTCAGATTTAGAGCACATGCCAACAAGACTTAGGCCCCCTTTGAATTAAAAATTACAAGTTATTGCTTTCATTTCTTTATGACCAGTACCAAAAGCCAGTTAGCACCTTTCTTATTCACGTTTTCTTGCCCTTCGAAGGGCAGGAGGTGGATGTGCCCGTCCCGCCCTACTCACCGTGCTGCGTGAAGAGGTCGCTGTGCACGATCTCGATGAGGCAGTGCAGCTTCTGCACCGTGAGCCGGCTCACCGGCACGTTCAGGATGAACTCCGTGAACAGCTTGCTGCGAACAGAGGCACAGTTGAAATATCTGTGAATCTCTCCAAAGGATACACAAAAAAAAAAGAAGACACAGCGGCACGGTAGCTGCTAAACAACTGAATACTTTCAGACAAAAAAGCCTTTGCTTTGTTAAACACACTGGAATTAGACAACTCAATTCACATTTCTCTGAGCAATGCATTTCTTCTTGGTGCCTTTCTTTTTTCTTCTTTCATTTCTTTTGCCTCTCTGAGGCATCACAATACAGCAATGGAAACAGACAAGCATTTCTGCAATCAAATTAGATAAAAAGCATTGTGTTTTTCACAGTCCCATTACGATGCTCTTATATTAAAATAATAAAAAAACATACTTTCAACTTTTTTTTTTTAAATCAAAAATGCTAAAACATTAGCCTTTATTTGGGTATCTCTCTAAGACCTTCCTATTACCATTTGTGTTTACTATCACCATTTATGCGTTCCAAAGCTACTAAAATGTCCCCAGAAATAACTTTGACGCACAGAAGAGCTGTCATTAGTTAAAACCAATTCATGTCCCAGCTAGTGATTCATCAATGCATCTCGGTCTGATCTTACTATTCAAGTCTGCAAGGTTTGTCAAGAAATGCCAGACCTCCATGCTACACATTTACATCCCTCAGGTAATTATACTTCAGTGCATCAGAGCTTTGAGCCACTAGTACTGTAATGAGATTACATACTAAGGTTATGTTAAAATACATAATTTAGACCACAATAAATATCTCATTAACTCTACTTACCTAAGTTCTTTTGGATCAAACACTAATTTCACATCATTGACAATCGCTGGCAAGTACTTAAGTGCTGCCCCCTAAGAAATAAGAACAAACAGGACTGGAATTTGCAGCTCTTTGAAGCTGGAAAAAGAGTTGTGAGAGCAGAATCAAATCCGAAGTTGCTCTGGCTGAATTATTCACCAGGCCTTCAGCTGAACCACTGTAACTTACCCCCAGCCCAGACTACCTAGGGGATGCGTCACCTAAGCGTAAGGCTCAGTGAAGTGAATTGGGGCCCAAGGCTTCCCGGGTCACCATCCTCTACCCGCTGTTTCTGTGGAGCTGCAGAAGCTCCTTCTCCTCCTCCATGACAGCTGCTGGGGGTTAATTCTGCCTCCATGATTTAAACATAAAAGCGCTCTTGTTGTCCCCCCTGCAATAAACCTCAGCAAGCAGCAGCGAGGCTGCAGCTTCCCCTCACTCCCTGGAGCCTCCAGGTCACGGATACAGTAATGCAGGGATTCACAACATACACAGCTGTACACGGAGGGGCTGCAGCAAGGTCTTAACCATCCACGTTCCCACTGACTGTTTTTGGTTTAGGGTTCTTTTCATTTCTTAGTAACAGTTACCATAGTTGTTATTTCCAAAGCAAAAGTTCTCTCACCTGCATCATTAATAAAAAAGTTAAATAATGAAAATCCAGCAGTTAAAAATCACTGTCCAATTTAATAGCTGAAGTAATTCTAATGCGACTGTATTAAAACACACTTTTGCTTACAGCACAATACTGAACTGGCCTCTGATAACACTCAAGCCACAAATCAGACTACACGAGCAGTAACTTCAGTCGTTTCAAGGTTTTTTCCAGCATCCCTTTGCAAACGGACAGAAGTGCCCCACTTCCTTCTGCTCCCCTTCCGCCACAGTGAGACGTATTTGGGTCTCGCTTGGACACCCAGGCCAAGCAGACACCCCAGGGGCGAGGGCCGTGCAGGAGCCTCTTGGCTGCTGCTCCAATGCACCAGCGGCTGACGAGGCTGGTGCCGTTTGCCCCAAGCTGCCCCGGGGACCGCGGGGACGCCAGGGAGGGCAGCCCGACCTAGGGCACTTGGCTCTACGTTTCACTGCGAATACGGAACACTTGATCACAGCGTTGAGCCCCAAAAAGCAGCACAATTCATTCCCCAAGACAACTGTTTTATTCAGTGCTTAGTGTCTGCAGCTCATCAAGAGCAGCAGTGCTCACTGTCCTTACACAAGTCCTTACACTTTTCTTTTTCTCCATTCCTTTCCAGTCTGAAAGGCCCCATCCCACAAGCAATTGCACTTCACAGCTGTGGTCAGAGCATCTGCATTTAGCAAAGCAGCTCAGGGCAGATTTGATCCTGGTCTCAAGGGCCAGCTCAGCCCAAAAGTAAAAAGGGGAAAAATATTTAGACTCCCCTATCAATCATTTTAGCTGTCTTTCCAGCTAAAAATACAAGTACCATTAATGATTAATATGTACTATTTTAGAGCAAAGTTCAGGTTTATTATGCAGTATAATTATTTTAATTAAATCATTTACATATCTTTAGGTAAGATTACAAGAGGTATCAGTGATACAAAATAAGTAGTTTCCTGAATAATGTATGAAGCAGCCATTAATTTACATATTTATCAAAAAAAGGCAGATTAAAGTGAGTTTGGTAACCTGGCTGAAGACAACATACCCATGCCTGCAAACTCAGCCAAAAACGCAAGTTCAGGTAGTTTTTTCCTGCAGACAACCAAGAGCCATTCACCAAATCGAAGGGCTCTGCAGTACTAGACTCCTACAACAACCCTTTTCCTTCTTGAACTTTATTATGTTGCACAAAATAGTCTGCCAGGAGTGAAGAGGAGAAAAATTTTTCCATTATTTGGGGAAAAAAAATTCTCAGTATTGGAAAAAACTGAAATGATGGCTCCAAAGGTAGCCCCCTCCTAGGCCAGGTCCTCTGCCCTCGATTGCTTTGCGGATTGAATACATGACAATGGAAATTAGTTTACAGACAATGACAATAAATTTGCAAAAAAACCTTTCAACTGGGAGACTGCTTCGTACACAACATGTGAGCACATCATCGGACAAAGCTTCATTAAGGAATTTTGGAAAAAAACAGAGAAGTTTTCTGCAGCCTTTTCAGTCTTCCTGGACAGTACATGGAGACCCCTGAGCCACAGAGCCGCGTTCAGCTCCCAGGACGAGGGCTCCGGCCGGGCTGCCCGTTCCAACGTGCCCAGCGCTGGCCTGGGTCCCCTGCTCAACACCCTGCTCGGGCCAGCAACACACAAGGGATTTTTAAACATGTTTTTCTGCAGAGGACCTGGGTGTTGTGGTGGACAACAAGGTGACCATGAGGCAGCAGTTGCCCTTGTGGCCAAGAAGGCCAATGGGATCCTGGGGTGCATTAAGAAGAGCATCTCCAGCAGGTCGAGGGAGGTGATCCTG